ACATCACACACACAACACCACACCACACCACACCACACCACACACACCACACCACACCACATCACTACCACCACACCACACCACACCACACCACACCACACTACACATTATGACTTAAGAGGAAAACAATTATCTTTGGTATTGTCGTTGAGTCAGAGTAACCTAAGGCCATCATGTTGTAGTATCTATCTATCTATCTATCTATCTATCTATCTATCTATCTATCTATCTATCTACCTATCTATCTATCTATCTGATTAGCGACGGACGGACATACGGATCTAGTTGACAGTTAAGGCTGGTTAGTGTCGACCGTTAACTTGACCTTACTGAATAAAACAAATGATGAGTACCATTATGTTGACTCACCTCCCTCACCTCACACTCAACTCCATCACTCACCATTCTCCTCACCTCCCTCACCACCTCTCACCTCACCTCACTCACCTCACTCACCTCACTCACCTCACCACCTCACTCACCTCACTCACCCTCACCTCACTCCACCTCCTCACCTCACCTCTCCTCACCTCACTTCCTCAGTCACCTCACTCACCCTCACTCACCCCTCACTCACCCCTCACTTTAGCAATATAAGAATTACCATATTTAACACGTTTTAATATGAACGTAAATATTAAACACGTACAGTAGCTGGTTGGAGCAGTATTATAAGTCCTGTCTGTCTGTCTGTCTGTCTGTCTGTCTGTCTGTCTGTCTGTCTGTCTGTCTGTCTGCCTGTCTGCCTGTCTGTCTGTCTGTCTCTGTCTGTCTGTCTGTCTGCCTGCCTGTCTGCCTGTCTGTCTGTCCCTACAATAACTCGAGAACGGATCCACACGATAAACTTTTGGTGTAAATCCCGTCATGAAAACACTTAAGGTTATTATAGAAAACGATGCCATTAAAGTTATTAAAAAAAACGATAATATGAGACATTCTGAAGCGGTAACTATATTAAATGACTGTAACAGCATCACACATTTAACATAATAAAGGATTAACGTTAATAAATGCGTTACTTTATATAACATTTAACAAAAACTAACCAATATTAACCTAAATTAACCGTATAATAAACCAGTGAATGACGTCATGGTTCATCAGTTGACAGTTAGATACAGTTAAGTGTTGTAGTGTGACAGTTAACACACTTAATTGTTACACTTAATCAATTAATTTGGTGAGGACATTGACACAGACCGTGTGTGTGTGTGTGTGTGTGTGTGTGTGTGTGTGTGTCATTTTTATCCTACCATTATCAGTCTTGGCTCAAGGGAGTGAGGGAGGGAGGGTAGGGAGGGAGGGGAGGGAGGAAGGAAGGGAGGGAGGGAGCAGTACCCATAAGAAAGCTCTCAGGGAGGTGTAAATAAGGGAGAGTAAACTTTTAAGGGAGGATAAAAACGCCCCATATTTTTTATGGGAGAGATAGAAGCGAGAGAGGAGGGGGAGAGAGGAGGAGGGAAGGAGGCTGGAGGTGAAGGAGTAAGGAATAAGGGAGAGGAGACGAAGGAGGAGGAAGAGAAGAGATGGAGAAGAAAAGGAGGAGGAGGAAGAGGAGAAGAAGACGGAGGAGGAAGAGAAAATGGAGAAGGAAAATAGAAGAATGGGGAGGAGGAGGAAGAGAAAATTGAGAAGAAAGAGAAGAAGGAAGGGAACGAATGAGGAAGAGAAGGAGGGAAAAGAACCATACATCACAATAACACTCTGACGTGGTGTATCAGGGAGCCGACACTTTCACCCTGTTATAACATTCTCAGTAATGGAGTGTAGGAGGCACTTAATGGTTCCCTAACACGATAATAGTCTTTAATTCACTTGTAAAAAGAAACATTGCGTGTGTGTGTGTTGGGGGGGGAGGGGTGTTTGGCATATTTGTGGGTGTGTTGTGGTGTGTGTGTGTGTGTGTGGGAAGCTCGGTGCAATGTTGACATCCTCAGGGCAGGTCGAGGCTGGCTGGGCATAGGTCCGGTCCGGCCCCCTGTCCTATATACTGCTGTGACGCCTAATTGGCAACCCCACCCCGACCCCCCCCCTTTCCTCGTCCACCACCATCATCTGAGTCTTCTTTCTTCTTTTCACTGCTGCCAATTTTTACACTGATTCCAACTCAGACTAGGCAAAATTGTACTCCAATCTTGTCAATAAAGGCGTTAAGTTCTCTCTCACACACTCACACACACACACACACACTCACACACACACACACACACACATATAACTCGTCCTTATCACGCCACCACACCCACACCACCTGACACCTCGACATCACAACAAAACCCTCACCACCAACACGACCCTCTTGAAGGTCACACGGCGAATAGGTCAAAGGTTAAGCCATGTTGATTAATAGGTCCAGGATAATGGGTCGCTTAATGGTCTAGGTAATGGGTCTCTTAAGAATGGGTCAAGCTAAAGTATTAATCTATATCATGGGTTAAGGAAATGGAGAGGTAGTGAGAGGTAGTGAGAGAGAGAGAGAGAGAGAGAGAGAGAGAGAGAGAGAGAGAGAGAGAGAGAGAGAGAGAGAGAGAGAGAGAGATAGAGAGAGAGAGAGAGCAACAATTATCTCAAGAAGAAGCCAAGAATCTCTCGACCTAAATCACTTGAGGAAATATTTCTCCCTAAATAAGGAGAACTCAACACGCATAGTAGAGTCTCAGAGCAAGGTCGACGCCATCTTGGTTTCCTTCATTATTTTTATCGTAACTAAAGTCAGTCAGATAAAGTTCATCACTAAATCGTAAGTTATTTCATTACTCTTGTTAACTAACCTAACCTAACCTAACCAAACCTAACCTAACCTAACCTAACCTAACCTAACCTAACCTAACCTAACCTAACCTAACCTAACCTAACCTAACCTAACCTAATCTAATCTAATCTAATCTAATCTAATCTAATCTAATCTAAACTAAACGTCTGATAATCCATCTTTTTGTTGTAGGTTTGGTTAGGTTATGTTAGGTGAAATAAGCTAGGGTGTCTAATCTTCATGTGATCTGGGACACTAATCACGTACAGTACATGAGAGGAACAAAGACTTAATACTCACTAAATAAGGTCATCCAGTACCCCGTCGGGCCTTGCAGCACCCTACATGTCCGGTCACACTTTCCTTTCTCTATTTTGGTATTTCCTCGTCCAGGTGTTATCCGATGGTGGGCTGTTTCTCTCATTCTTTACAGGGTGGTGTGCATGAAGGGTGGAGAGAGAGAGAGAGAGAATAAATGGGAGTAGGAGTAAGAGAAGAGGAGGGAGGGGAGGAGGAAGAGGAGGAGAGGAAGAAAGAGGAGGAGAAGGAGGGAAGAAGGAAGAGAAAAGGAAAATAAATTGGAAATACTAGACAGAAGGAGACAAGAAAGACGGAGAAAGAGATAATGGAGGATAAGTGAAGAAAGAACACTAACTAGAAGAAACGAGACAGGGTATGAAGCGAGGGAGAAAGAGATAATGGAGGAGGAGAGTGGAATAGGCAATAAGGAGGAGGGATGGGACGGGGGGGTGAGGGATGGTACAAGTGGGAACACGAGGCACTAGGCCCTGCCAAGTGTCACACGGATAGAGTCCCAGCAGAGGAGAGAGAGAGAGAGAGAGAGACAAAGCAGACGTTCAACAACATATCTTCAACACCTGCCTCACACCTCCTCACACTCAGCCCACACTCTGCTCAGACCTCACACCTTCCCACACTCCAGTTTCAGATTCTGTTCACACCTGTTCACACCTGCTCACCTGCTCAAACTCTCACACCTGTTCACACCTGCTCAGACCTCACACCTGTTCACACCTGTTCACACCTGCTCACACCTCCTCACACCTGTTCACACCTGCTCACACCTGCTCAGACCTCCTCACACCTGTTCACACCTGTTCACACCTGCTCCCACCTGTTCACACCTGCTTAGACCTCCACACCTGTTCACACCTGCTCACACCTCCCTCTCCTCAGACCTCCTACCTCCTCCCACCTCCTAACCCCTCTGCACACAACTAGCCCCGTACTAGAGAAATTAAAAAAATATATTAAAATTCCTAGATTCCCTAACCTAACCTAACCCCCAGGTAGTGTTAGGGTGTTTAATCTTCACGTGATTCAAGATGGCGCCTATAGTAGACTGAGACTCTACTGCAGTTACATAAAAGTTTACTTATTCACCAAATAAAAAAATAAAGTAGGAATTTATAAGTAACTCTTGACGTAATTAAGAGTTATGATAGAGTTCCCTGTTATGTAAGACCTACTTCCGTCTTCCTTGAGTGTTCCCCTGTGGCGTCGAGGTGTAATGGGGGGAGGGGAGGGAGAGAGAGAGGTTAGGAATGTCCAGGTAATGAGGAAATTAAAGGTCAGGGGGAAATGATAAAACAGGGAATAGAGGAAGGAAGGGATAAGGTGATGACTGTACAGATGAAGGGGAAATGAAGAAAGTGAGAGAGAGAGAGAGAGAGAGAGAGAGAGAGAGAGAGAGAGAGAGAGAGAGAGACCTTCTTACTACTCGAGTTGTATCTACCGCCTCTTGAGAACACCCCTCACCCCTCACCCCTCACCCTCTCAGGCCAACACCTCTTACCTCACTGACTCATCTACTGAATTCATCTCCCTGACTCACTGACTCACCCCACTGACTCAAACAAACAATAAATCCATCACTTAACAATGATTACTATTTTCTCTTAACAAATAAAATAACGCACAAACAAATGTAAAAAAATAGAGAGAATTTATTTACAATTTACAATCAGGTGAATAAATGTGTAAACCGGTAATTTACACATTTACATCCTGGCTGATTTACTGACGTTATTTACACCTTTTGGTCATTATAGGTGTGTGTGTGTGTGTGTGTGTGTGTGTGTGTGTGTGTGTGTAAACTAGAGAAGTGTAGACTAATTAAATATATTTTAATTTATATTCTAATTCTAAGTTCGATTTACATAATATATTAATTTATATATTATTTAATATATGTAATCTATATGTAATCTATCTATCTATGTTTCAGAGGCGGCAGATTATGACACGCCACTGTATGACACACGTGGCTATGACTGGTGCATGACAGTTGCCTCAGGATGGGAGCAGTGAGCTGTCATGCGGGTGGTGGACGTGGCGTGACAACTACTGTCATAACGAGAGCAGTGACAATGTGTAAGGAGATGCACCACTGCTACCACGTCTGACAGTGAAACAACGGTGAACAGTTTAAGTAATTTAACAGAATATAAGACGTAATAAGAAAAGTGTGGCTTAATAACAGTGAAATTAATGAATTGTGTCAAATCTTGGAAGACATTGAGAGTGTGACGTCATTAAACATAGTGATGTAAAGTTTTCTTATCTCTTAGTAAGAATTATTAACAATTCCTGGAGGGATTTAAGGTTTTTATGGTGTACTTGAGTGTTTACTGGGTACTCGTGAAGCACTTTTAGACGGTTTAAGATGTAATAATAATTGGTGTAGTTACCCTTGAAAAATGTTTCGTTTTCTAAACAGATTAATGAAAAAGTATGGCAAGATTATTCTTTACAGTGATGCTTCAGACGTGATATAACTCTTAAAATGGATAACACTTCAGGTTCAAGGGTCAATTATGGGTTACGGGGCAACATAGAGTCAGAAGTGCCTCCCGGAGAAGATCTATTGACCTCGGCAACGACGGAGATGGTTCTGAAGGAATTCCTGTCGTCAGTGGGCAGGAGTATGGCCGGACCTCAGCCGTCACGCACTGAGTATGTCAACCTCACGGCCATTAAGATCAAATATGACGCCCTGGCTGCCCTCACTTCCACGCCGCCCACGCCCCTCCTCTCACTCTGCCTACCCGACACCCCTGACCTCCTGGCCATGGGCGTGTGGAGCGCCTGGGCGTGGGTAATGATAACGGTGTTGTTGTGCCGCAGTTTATGTACCCGCACCCCACCTTTCACCACGCCCATACTCCTTCACGCCCACGTTCTCCGCACTCTTACACTGCTGGTCCTCACTCTGGTCCACGTAGCCGCATGCGGGGAGGCGGGGCTGAGGTACTGGAGGTCCGCATCACCGCACATACTACTGGTGCCTGCCGCAGCTGCCGCCCTCTCCACCACCCTCATCACCGCCGTGTTCTACCATACTATAGAGTGCTGGCGCTGTCCTGCCTATATCGTGGTGACGGTGGGCGTGTGGGCGTGTGGGGCGGGTGTGGGTGTGGTGAGAGTGCGGCAGATAGTGGGCGTAGGCGTGCCAGAGTGGGCGGTGTACCCTGGGGTGGTGGTGGGCGGCCTAGTACTCACTGGCATCATGTTTATCATCGACCTGTGGACATTACTGCGCTGGGTGAGTACTGACCTCTCCTTTATGTACACACGAGGCCATGTACACACGAGGCCATGTACACACCAGGTTATGTAGACACCAGAGTATTCATACACAAACACACATGTACACATAACATGATGCATACACAAACAAATGTACACACAATCTCATACATACACACAAACACATGTACACACAATTATCATACTTACACACATGTACACATAGGTCATAAATTATGCAGGGTCACAGGGGACGGGTCTGGTCAGGTCAATTGAAGTCAAAAGGTTAATGAATTTATTGACCTCTGGCGTCCTTAGCAACGACTACAATTCTTAGAAGCTGATTGGTTGCTGGTTGCTATGGGACTTATGACGTCACAATGAAAAATAAAAGCTAATTAGTTGATTGTTGCTAAGAGAATCGTGACGACACAATAAAAAGTAAAAGTTGATTGGCCGCTGGTTTTAATGGGGCGTCATGAATCTCTTAGTTACCAATCAGGTTTTCTTTTCAATGTGACGTCATGATGCCTTTAATAAGCAGCAACCAATCACCGTCTCAGGATTGTAAAAGTTGCTAAAGTGAGACAATAATAGCGAGAGATAGAGAGAAAAAGAGAACAAGAGAAAGGTAGACAGAGATAACAGGAGATAAAAGAGACATAACTAGGTCAGGGTCGGGTCAGAGCGGCATCAACACAGAGACAGAGGAAGGAAATGACATAACTACTGTCTGACTGTCAGTTTGTGGTGGTCATTCTGTCCTTCTCTCCCTTCCTTCCCTTTCTCTCCCCTTCCTTTCTGCTATCCTTCCCTCCCTCCTTCCTCTCCTCTCTCTCTATTCTTCAATAAACTCTCTCCCCCCCTCCCTCTTCCTATTGCTCTTCTTCCTTCCCCTTCCACAAAATTCGCTCACCTTCTCTCTCCCTCTCCCTCCCTCCCTCCCTCACTCCCTCCCTCACCTTCTCTCTCCCTCACTCCTCCCTCACCTCTCTCTCCCTCCCTCACCTCTCTCCCTCCTCCCTCACCTCTCCCTCCCTCACCTTCTCTCCTCCTCCCCAACCTTCACCCCCGGCCGGATCTCTTCATTCACTCGGTCATTGGTCCGTCCGTTCGTTGCTCTGTTCTTTACTACAATTTTGGTTAAGTGAGCCTTTGACGGTCTGTACTGGACCTTTACACCCCTTCCCTCCCCTTCCCTTCCCTTCCCTTCCCTTCCCTCCCCTTCCCTCCCCTTCACCTTTCCTACCTTCAGCTCCACCATAACAAAACACTTGCCCCTTCAGACATACCGTCAACGACATTCAGAAGTGCTGGAGATCACCCCGGGAGCTGAGGAGGTGGGCGCGGGCGGCATAGGAGGCACGGGGGGCGTGGGTAGCGCGGGTGTTACCTATCGCCACCCATTGGTAGGTCTGGCCACCCGTGCGACCTTCGCCTGGTTCCTGAATGTGCTGAGGCTGGGCTGGCGGCGACCTCTGGAGTTCTCTGACTTCGGCAAGTAAGTCATGAAAGACGAGGGTGATCTTAGGAGGCGTGTGTGATCTTAGGAGGCGTGGATGATCTTAGGAGGCGTGGATACCAGTAGCTAGGAGGCGTGGGTGCAGGCAGGCATGTGTATTTCACCATTGATCAATGCCAGTGTTTCCGGGTGTAGCGGCGGCGGCACACTACACCCACTAGTTATTGATGAATGAAGGTGGGGGGGGTGTCGAGAGGGCGTGTGTTTGTCTATCAGAATTGGTGTGTTTGACTATGTTGAGAGAGAGAGAGAGAGAGAGGGGGGGATTGTTTGTGCGGGGGGGAGAGGGGGGGGTAGTATGGGTGTCTGTTTGTGTTGGTGTGGAAGTGACACAATCATATACATACAAACATACATATAATAAAACATGCAGTATATCCAAATGTATTTATGCATTGTTTCACCTGACCTCTGACACCCCCCCCCCTCCCCCCTCTCACCAGGTTACCGAGGGAGGAGGAGGCTCGATACCAGTACGACAGGTTCTTTAAGCAGTACCAGAGAGCTCAGGTAAGTCTCACCCTGTCTACCTGTGTGTCTTTCCTGTCTACCTGTGTATCTGTCTTCCCGTCTAGCTCTATATTTGTCTACCCATGTATCTGTCTACCTGTGCGTCTCTCAACCTGTCTTCCTGGTTACCTGTACCTATCTACTTGTCTGATTAAGTTGATATACACAAACATACCAAGAAATAATGTCAATTCATTTCACCTTTTTATTATTCACCTTCATCTCCTTCCAGGTCAACTCAAGCACTCCAGGTCAAGTAGGGTGGGAGGTCAGGTCACCGTCACTGTGGAAGGTGTTTGCCAGCATCTACTGGAGGGAGATGCTGGCTGGTGGAGTCTTTAAACTACTGGGTGATGGAGTGAACGTCGTGGGCCCTCTTGCTATTGGTCTCATTGTCACCTACGTCACGCAGGTCCAGGATGGCACTTTAGTTCATCACGGTGTAGTGGTCAGCGAGGTAAGTCAGTCTGGAGTCAGGTGTGTGTATTTAGCGAGTCAGTTTGGATCAGATGTGTAAGTCAGTCTGTCTCAGGTGTACGTTTAGGTATATAAGACTAGTCATTACCCTTCTTCAGGAGTTAATGCTCTTACCTTCTTCAGGATCAAAGTCATTAACCCAGGTGTTCCTCGTCAGCTGTACTACGTGGGGTGGAAGGAGGTGTTGAGGAACGGCTGGGTGGTAGCAGTGGTGGCCCTTGTAGCTGCCTTAGCACAGTCCACCTTCAGTCAGGCCTCTTCACACCTCGTGGCCATGGAGGGTATCCACGTGAAGGCCGCCCTCCAGGCCATGATCTACCGCAAGTCCCTCCGGTTATCGAGTAGGACCTTGGCTGAAGATCCCCCTGCGGCCACTGAGTCAACCACTACCGACGGGAACCCCAAAGGTAAGTACAGTGACTTCCTTTTGGATACGATTCAGTGTTTCAGTAAAGTTGTGGTTTTATCCCATCAATCTTCACAGTAGCTGAGGCGAGTAGAGTACAATGACCAGTGAGTACATGCAGGAGTACAGTACAGTCAACTATGTCAGTCCATTCGCCTCTCTCACTGAACCACGAACCCGGAGATTCAGACTCGTGAACCCGAAGCAGTAAGTAGACACATAAATGCTTCGTTACTTAAGAATCGTCAAACAATACTGTACATCTTGTCATTATAAACCACGACACACAGAGTGGGTTTTGGAGATGTGCTGTGGGGATGTGGTTGATGGCTCACACTCACAGTCACCTGGCCAGTGTGCATCGACTGTAACTGGAGGGATGTAGAGTATAAATCACGAGAGAACGTCGAGGATAAAAAAAAAATGCAGGTTAACTTTAAATATTTGGTGGTGTAAAGATTTGCTTGGGTGAGTCGACTTATTACTTCCCATTATTGTATGTCTTCACTATCTATCTATCTATCTATCTATCTATCTGTCTGTCGATTAGTTTCTCAATAAATAAATAAACACACTCAAGAAAAACAAACCGATTAATGCCTTGTGAAAATTATATTACCTTTTTTTTAATATATTTATCTTAACTTCCTTTAACATTTTTTTTAACATTTATTCGACAAGAAAATTAATTTGACCTTCAATATAACTTGTAATTTAGTCTTCCTCTTTTTTATTAAAATTCTTTAATATTTATTTTAATGTTATATAAAATTTTGTCTACGTTTTATTTTATCGTCTTTATTCTTGTTTAACATCTTTGGTTCTGTGCTTTATATTTTAAACTGGATGTCAAGAGCTATGGCAATGAACAGGGAGGTAATGCCATGGTGGAATAATATATTGCCATGGTGTAGTAATGAATTGCCATAGTTTAGTTAGGTATTGCCATAGTTACCGTTAATTAAAGAGAGAGAATGAATACTGGCAAACATTTAGAGAAAACTGTAACATGTGATGGATAACTTATATTAACTTTTATTATCCCACTTTAATACCCAACTGAACACTCACTGATGACAAATACTTGATAAATACCACCATTATATATTAAATGCTCCACTATTACCGTTTGTACATGTAATTCATTAGATATTACCTATATAATGTTTATATATATATCATTCCTAATTACTCTCCCAGATATAATAATTACGCGTAAGTTCTATTTCACTGAGGATCCAATATCACATCTTGTATTCAAATTATATATTAATTTTAAACTTTCTTTTGGATTTAAATGATATTGATTCAGTATTCTGTTTGTGGTTTATCAGCCATTATTTACATGACTAGTTGAGGTGAGGACACGTTAGTTGTGTTACAGGTGTGAAGGTGTCAGGGGGCGGGACCAGAGGGAGTGTGGACGCCGGCAGTGTCATTAACCTGAGCTCTGAGGACGCTGACAACCTTATGACTTTCTTCATGCACTGCCACTACATCTGGGCCATCCCTCTCAAGGTAATGTGCTGTCATCACCTCTGCCTTATCTATCTATCTATCTTTCTATCTATCTATCTATCTAATCCTTTCCTGAGATGATTTTAATTATATACCTCTCGTGTTCTCAGGTGATTTAAATTTATATAATGACCCCATGTTGCCAGGTGTGTTAATTACCCCCACCTGTGCTAATTATCCTCACCTGCGTTAATTATCCTCACCTGTGTTAATTATCCTGTGTTCCTCCTCAGGTGAGCGTGATCATGGTGTTGCTGTGGGTACAATTGGGCATATCTGCCGTGATCGCTGCCGTGGTGGGGATCCTGGTGTTGACGCCCCTCCAGTGTCTACTGTGTAAGAAGATTGGTGCGGTGAATAAGAATTTTCTGGTAGGTGTGGTTAGTGTAGGTGTGGTTAGTGTAGGTGTGGTTAGTGTAGGTGTGGATAGTGTAGGTTACTATTAGGATAGGTTAGGTGTGGTTAGGTTAGATTAGCTTGGGGATTAAAGTACCGTCAGTCATCGTACCTAGGAAGTAATTTGGGGAAAGTTATCGTAAATTGACTGTATTTATTCAATGCCTCTGTATACTTGCATAACCCTGGAATGTCCATATACATACTTAATCAATGTTAACTAATATGATTTATTTTTCTGAGTAAACATGAGTCTCCTCCCTCATGGCTGGCAGGACGTGAGTGATGACCGGCTTCGTCAGACACACGAACTAGTGACGGGGGTGAAGCTGGTGAAGGTGCATGCCTGGGAGGACGTGTTCATTAAGCGCATCACCGCCGTCAGACACAAGGAACTCAAGCTCCTCCAACACGACTCTATACTCAGAGCCCTTATGAGTGAGTTACTTAAGTTACACCTAAAATAGTCACAGGTTTTCTCTCATATATATTCGTGACTCTAAAGGAATATTTAGTGTGGTTATGAGTTATACAGCCAGCCGGAGACTTATCCCGGAAGTTCCATCGCTCTTCTCACATGTTATCGAGCATTACATCCCAGCAAACATCCTCTCGTAGCCTCAGTACAATAAAGAACACACTTATTGTGATAGATAGATATAACGTCATTTCCAGATCGGCAAAACATTATAAAGGAAAGATCCAAGATACAAGACGTGTTTGGTCGACTGAGGAGGGAACAGTTTACAACACGTGTCACCTGTGGGCCAGACGCTGATAATTACCTTGGAAGAATATTTCCCTTCTGTTTAGGGTGTTGTTCTGGTGGTGTTTACATACATACATATATCCATACATACATACATGCATACATCACCAACTATGTATAATTCTAGATTTACTGATAACTCAACACCCAGTACCTCCCTCCCTCCTTCAGCCTTCCTGACGCAGGGGTCGGGTGTGATCGTGTGTTTGGTCACCTTCGGCCTCTATTCGTGGCTAGAGTCGGCGGCACTAGAGCCAGCCAGGGTCTTCTCCGGCTTGGCACTCTTCAACCAGCTCACAGTGCCACTCTTCATTCTCCCCATCATCGTCTCACACACCATCACGGCCATGGTGAGTCAGCGTGAGTCAGTGTGTGAGTAACTTTGTATGGGAGTCATTTTTATGTTAATACCTGTAGGTGAATTACTGCCATGTGTTAGTCATTTGTGAGTCAGTACCACACACGAATCAGTACCACACATAAGTCAGTACCACACATGAGTCAGTACCACACATGAGTCGGTACCACACATGAGTCAGTACCACACACGAATCAGTACCACATATGAGTCAGTACCACATATGAGTCAGTACCACACACGAATCAGTACCACACATGAGTCAGTACCACACATGAGTCAGTACCACATATGAGTCAGTATACACAGCCTCACCTACACACCTACTGTATGCTGTAGTAACAAATCCTTCCCTCCTACAGAACAGCACACGACGCCTTCAGAAATTCTTCAGTTCCCCGGAAGTAGAAGGACCTAAGACTCCAAAGACTCCTATCACGTTGAGGATCCCCCGAGGAGGAGGAGGAGGAGGAGGTCAGACTTCCCTAGGAGCCAAGCTGAACCTCAAGGAAAATAAGTTACTGGATGACAACAAGACGGTCAGGTTGTCTCAGGTCACCGAGGAGAGCAGGGTGAGTGTGTGTGTGTGTGTGTGTGTGTGCGTGTGTGTGTGTGTGTGTGTGTGAGAGAGAGAGAGAAACAACAACAGCAATAACAACAACAATAACAACACCCTCTCCCCCTCCAGCCTACATCAACGTGTTCGATGGCGTCAACAGAATCCAAGACCTCAAGCTCGACTTCAGCCAAGGAGAAGGTCGACCTCAACTCCTCCACCCTCAACAGCGACTCAGAGGAGGAGCTGGAGTTTGAGGGATGGAAGAAGAGGAAGAATGGTAAGGAGGAGGAGGATGGGGAGGGATTACAGAGATGGATTACAGGGGATTAATGTCAAGGAGGGAACCATGTATACTCTTGATGTATATCGTGTGTTCATGTATACTAACTGTGTATGTATAATGAGACGAGTAAAGACAATATATATCTGTCTGTCTGTCTGTCTGTCTGTCTGTCTGTCTGTCTGTCTGTCTGTCTGTCTGAACTACAACACATGTACAGCATAAGCAACACAACAGTGACTACCCCACGACACCATCTTAACTCCGTGGTTGTTATGGTAACCAGGTGGCGTCCGGATGACATCAGAGGAGCGTGAGGTGGCCGTGAGCATACAGAGCGGCACCTTCACCTGGGAGCATCGTGGCCACCTGACCGTCCTTGAGAATATCACGACCGAGATGGCCACAGGTGAGTCCAGGTACCTATTGATGAGCTACCTGAGTTACTGTCTGTCTGTCTTCACGTGTTATGGGGCGTCAACAAGTATCATTAGTAGCTGCCAGACGTATGAGTAATAACCTAACCTAACTCTGGTGTTCTTCCTGTAGGAGGGCTGACGGTGGTGGTGGGAGGCGTCGGGGCAGGCAAGACCTCCCTCCTGCTGGCGCTGCTGGGGGAGATGCATACACTGAGAGGACAGCTACGGTGGACAGGGTGAGTTGAGGGTGATGAGGAAGGAGGAAGGGAGGGAATGAAAGAGATAGATGGAAATAGGAAAGGAAGGAGGTAGACAGAAGAAAGAAGAGGAGGAGGGAGAAAAATAATGAAAAAAAGGGAGAGAAAGAGTAAAAATAGAATAAAAAAGAACATATCTCTCTTCATATCATCTACCTGACCCCCCCCCCCCAACACAGGGAGATGTCCGTGGCGTACGTGTCTCAACATCCGTGGCTCATGAACTCAACCCTGAAGGACAATGTTGTGTTCGGCCGACGACTACTGATGCGGCGGTATCAGAGAGTCCTACAAGCCTGTGCCCTCACCCCTGACATTGAGATCCTTCCTGCAGGGTAAGTGATGTGATGTGACGTGATGTGTGACGTGATGTGATGTGATATAAGGTGATGTCTTTTGAAAGTAAAATAGAAGAAATATATATATATATATATATATATATATATATATATATATATATATATATATATATATATATATATATATATATATATATATATATATATATATATATATATATATATATATCACCTGAAGATTAGACACCCCGTCTTATCTGACCTAAAGATTAAAAAACAATCTTAAATTACTTTAACCTAACCTAACCTAACCTAACCCTCCAAGGAAACATTAGGGTGTTTAATCTTCATGTGAAATAAGCTGAAGTATCTACAGGTGAAATAAGCTGGGGTATCTCCTTCAGGTGACCTAAGAAAAGCTTTACATTCATGGTCTCTCTCTATCTCTCCGCCTCAGAGACCAGACGGAGATAGGAGAGAGAGGCATCAATCTCTCAGGGGGACAGAGACAGAGGGTAGCCATAGCCCGGGCACTGTACTCTAACGCCCGCACTGTAATACTGGTGAGTAGCCCTTGAGTAGCCCCCAGTAGCCTTTAAGTAGCCCCTAGTAGCCATTGAGTAACTCCTAGTAGCCTTTAAGTAGCCACAGTAGCCTTTAAGTAGCCCCAGTAACCTTTAAGTAGCTCTCCAGTAGCCCTGTGGTAGGCTTGAGTTGGTTTTAGTTGTCCCAGTAGCTCTCTCATAGCCCCTTGATAGGCTCCAGTTGATTGTAGTAGCCTTCAGTAGCCCCGTGGTAAGGTATATTAGCTCCCAGTAGCCCCGTGCTAGGCTCTTTTTACACTAACTATCCCAATAAGTCCAGATAGGCCTACGCTAACTGTGTATAGTAGCCCTGAACTCGAGTGACTAGGCCTATGAACCTTTATATTATTGATGAAACCTTATGTAGGACCTCATACGCATCCTATAATCACTCCTATATATCCTACGTGACCTATAATGACCTCTAACTATATCCTACGTATCCTTCGTGTCACAGGATGCCCCCTTCTCCGCCCTGGACGTCGGGGTCAGCACTCAGGTGTGGGAGGAAGGTATCCGTCAGCTTCTCCTGCGCCGCCGAAGGACTGTTATCCTCGCTACCCACCTCACACACCTCACACGCCAGGCTGACAAGGTGAGAGAGAGAGAGAGAGAGAGAGAGAGAGAGAGAGAGAGAGAGAGAGAGTATAATCACCAACATCTCTCTTAACTGTTCTCTCACTTACAGATCATCTACCTAGAGGGCGGCAGGATCGTACTTCAAGGGAGTCCTGCGGAGGTGTCCAAGGCGTCCCCAAGGCTGTGGCAGGAGTGGGGGGCCAAGGAGGGCGTGGTGGCTGTAGGAGGGGAGAGCAAAGGACGCCTCGAGGGACGTACTGCCATGGAGAGGTGGACACTCCTTCGTCTGGTGACCCGCATCACTATACAGAGGACCTCAGTGTGTAGAGACGTGAGGAGGGAGAGTGTGGAGGAGGTGAGGGAGAGTGTGGGGGTGTTGGGGAGTATGGATGAGAGGGTGAGGGGGAGTGTGGGGGATGGGGGAGTATGGATGAGGGACAGTGTGGGGTGTGGAGGAGTATGGATGAGAGGGTGTGGGGGAGTGTGGGGGATAGGGGAGTATGGAACATCTGAATGAAGTAAAGTGTTAAGTTCTAATTAATCTATGTCAATATATACAATAACTCTCTCTCTCTGGCTCTTCTTTCCTCCCACTTCTCGTATCTGTTTCCTTATCTCTCTCTCTCTCTCACCCCCAGAACAAGGAGGAGAACTACGGCCAACATACTCTCGATAGTCGACTCATGAGGCAATACAGTGTTAACCGCCACGTCTCCCACAATGCCCTGCTACCTGGTGACGAGTGTGAGTACCTACCAGCACTCACCCCGCCACTCTCTCGTCACTCCTTCCACCACACGCACTCACCCAAACTCCAGCTCTTCAGGTGAGTTCCAGAAAGGTGAATGAATCCGTGAGGTGGGTGGTTGAGTGGTGACTTGGGAGTTATGGTTGTAATGGGGTTCGATTCTGTTGGGTTTCGATTCTGATGGGGTTGGATTCTGATAGGTGTACACTACGTTTTTGTTTTATATTTAACTCTCTCTCTCTCTCTCTCTCTCTCTCTCTCCTTCACAGAATTAAGTCCAGTGCTCCAGCCTTTGGTCGTAAGTCATCACAGTTCCAGCGAGCACGACTCCCTCGCCACGCCAAGAGTCTGCCCCCCCAACCACGCCCCCTACCCCGGATGAGGTCCTCCCCAGCCGTGGTACCTCAGGGGAACATGCTACACAGGCTCTTCTCCAACGCCTCTATCAAGTAAGTCTTTCGAACTTCTACAGTAGGGGGTCTAATTTCGTCAGTAGGTCCTTTTAACTTCTACAGTAGGGGGTCTAATTTCGTCAGTAGGTCCTTTTAACTTCTACAGGAGGTATCAAGGCAATTAAGTCATGAAATAAACCATTATACTAATGGCTGTAACCTCTCTCTCTCTCTCTCTCTCTCTCTCAGGACCTCCAAGTGCCCTAGCACCTCGGGAACAGACAAATGGCACCTCGGCCGTATCCTCTCCTCCTCCAACAACCTGGGAGACGACTTGGAGGAGGACCTAGAGCTGGAGGAGGAGGTGCCCCTTGAGGAGGAAGTGGAGGACGGGCGCCTGATGGGGGAGGAGGACAGAGAGAGAGGACGAATCTCCAAGTGGAACTACATGGTGTACCTGAAGGCGTGTGGACTCGGTCTCGGCTTGAGCTACCTCTTCTGTGCCTTTGTTGGTCAGGGTGAGTGGGGGTGGGGGAGTGTGTGGATGTGGTTGGGTGGGGGAGAGTGTGGATGTGGTTGGGTGGGGGAGAGTGTGGATGTGGTTGGGTGGGGGAGAGTGTGGATGTGGTTGGGTGGGGGAGAGTGGGTGTGGGTAGGGATGTGGTTATTTTGGTATAGATGTGAATATGGGAAGTCGGTAAAGATGGAAAGACGACTTTATGAATGGATATATAATCACGGACACGAACGCCACTACCCAGCTGACCCTCCCTCCCCCCTTCAGGAGTCTCCGTGGGGCTGGACTTATGGTTGAAGAACTGGTCGGGTGAGGCCAGGTCCTGGAACACGACGGAACTCAGTAACTGGCAGGCCTTCAGGGACTACCAGACACAGAGGGACGATGACACCGTCGGCAGGAGGAGGACCTTCAACATAGACCCTCACGTTCTGCACATCCGAGAGAGATACAACGCCTTTATCGTAGAGACGGTGAGTCGTGGTGCTTGTTGACACACCCTGACGTAAACACTGTCTGTCTCGAGCAACATTTCACTCGATAACAATGTTCTCCTGCCCACAGATGCACTACTACTACCGCATCTACGCCATCCTCTCCGTGGTATCCATTCTCTTCTCCCTCTCCACCAATCTCCTGGGCCAGTTCGCTGCAGCTCGGGGTAGGAAGTGTCTCCACCAGAATATGTTGGAGAACCTCATTCATTGTCCCATCAGGTTCTTCGACACCACCCCCGCTGGCAGGATCATGAACCGCTTCACCACAGACACCGCCATGATTGATAAGGTGAGGAGGAGGGAGGTGGGTGGCCTGAACGCCATCTGTTGCTTGTGAGGGAAACTATATCTTGTTTGTGTCTCTCTTAAAGTCCTCATACTCGGAATACTTGTTTAATAACAATAGTTCCTGAAGCACAGACATCCACATAAACATCCACCACAACAATAATAACCTCAATAACATCAACCACAACAACAATACTCACCACCATCTCGTCACCTGCAGGAGCTGGCCAGGTCGTTGACACATCTGTTGTTCTTTGTGTTGATGGTCGCGTCGGCGGTGCTGGTGAACGTGGCCGTCACTCCCTACTTTTTAGCCGCCGCCGTCCCCATCTGCGCCCTGTACTATGGCGTTCAAAAGTTCTTCAGGTGTTCCTCAAGGTGAGGTGTTATTCAGGAAGATGTTATTCAGGGAGATGTTATTCAGGGAGGTGTTCTTCACGCCCTGACCCACAGAGCCACGTGGAGAAGTTGTGTTAGTGTTTATATATGTACAGTGAGCCAAATATTGTACTGTTTTACATCACCCCTATTCCTCCCTCCCTCCCTCCCTTACACGCCCCCCACCCCCCTTCCCCCCCACAACAAACCTCCACTAACTCCCTCCCTCACCCACAGAGAGCTGAAGCGCCTGGAGAGCTTGTCACGGTCGCCTCTCTACAGCCACCTGAGCGAGAGTGTCGGCGGGGCGGTGGTGATCAGAGCTTATGGGGACCAGCGTAGGTTTACAGACGTCCTCCTTCACCGCCTCGACACACACCTCACAGCCTTCACCCTCCTACATGCCGGGAACCGCTGGCTGGGGATATGTCTGGTGAGTACTGGTGGAAGACAGAGACAGACAGAGAGACAGACAGGCAGAGAGACAGATAGAAAGACAAAACAAATCAATGACTCATCCCCATCAACAGCACAATCCTAACCTCCTTCTCCCACACAGGATTACATCGGCGGGTTAATCGTGTTCTTCGCCACCTCCGCCTCACTCCTCTACTCCACCGTCGCTAGCCACAAGCTCGGTCCCGCTATGGTCGGTCTGGCCATCAACTACACGCTGCTGGTGCCCGTCTATCTCAACTGGGTAGTGAGGTTCTTAGCTGATACTGAGATGTGTCTTAATGCAGTGGAACGCGTCCAACACTACGCCTCCTTACCGCGTGAAGAGAAGACCTGTCGCAGCACCGTTAATGAGACTGTAGGTGAGCTGATGAGAGAGAGAGAGAGAGAGAGAGTGAGAGAGAGAGTGTGAGAGAGAGAGTGTGTTTGTAGGTTAGGTTAGGTTAGCGTTGGAGAGATTGTGGATACATCATTTAGTCACTGTCGTAAGTTACTGTTTCGAGTTACTTCCTGGTACCCACAGAGACATTGCCTCACTACCGTCGACGAACCAGCCAGATGAGTCATAGATCCTGGAGGTCTAGGTCATCGTCTGAGTCAGGGTCAAGTAGGAGGTCATCAGGGTTACCTCCCGGCTGGCCCTTGGAGGGTAAGGTGGAGTTCCGTGATGTCACATTGACTCATGACCCCAGCCTTGACCCCGTGCTGACCGGCCTCAACTTCACCATCAAGCCCGGAGAGAAGGTAAATTGGTTAATTATTTATTTATCTGGTCACTATTTATCAGCTCTCAGGTGTGTGTGTGGGGGAGATGTGCTAATGTATCCACACCACCACCACTCACCACCACCACCACTCACCACCACCACCACTCACCACCACTCACCACCACTCACCACCATTCACCACCACCACTCACCACCACTCTCCCCCACCACCACTCACCACCACTCTCCCCCACAGGTAGGGTTGTGTGGCCGTACAGGTAGCGGGAAGAGCTCATTAATCCTGAGTCTGTACCGCTTGGTGGAGGCTCGTCACGGCACCATCCAGGTAGACGGCACTAACATACAGCACGTGCCTCTCTCACTGCTCCGTGGCTCTATCTCAGTCATCCCGCAGGACACCCACCTCTTCTGCGGCACCCTCAGGTATGTGGGAGGGAAGGGAGGTAGAGGGAAGGAGAGGAAGGGTTAAATGTGGGGAGAGTTAAGTTATCTATAGTTGTGGCAAGGAATACGCTCATTATTATTATTATTATTATTATTATTATTATTATTATTAGACCTTTACACACACACACACTCCCTGTCCCCCACAGGTTCAACTTGGACCCATTAGGACAGCGGCCAGACGATCACCTGTGGAAGGCGCTGGAGGTGGCCCAGCTCCAGTCACTGGTGTCAGAGATGCCCGAGGGTTTAGGTAGGTCTTCAGCAGTGGTTTAGCCTACATTTTGGTGGTTCAGCTGTGGTTTAACCTACTTTTCATGGTTTAGTTGTGGTTTAACCTACATTTTGGTGGTTTAGCTGTGACTTAACCTACATTTTGGTGGTTTAGCTGTGGTTTAACCCTTTCACAGCGGGAGATTACCCTAAGCTGAATAAAGTCGTGTGGCGGTGGCCAGAATAAAATTTCAAGTGCGTGACGCGCGGTGAAAGGGTTAAGATAGGAAGGGATACATCAGTTGACTTGATGGTAAAAGAAATTGTGTTCCATAAATTGCCGCTGTATTTTAGTTGGTTTACTTTAGTTTTAGTGAAGTATAATACCGACTCCTAACGCTACCTCGCCTCTCACCCCTCCACAGAGACCCAAGTGAGGGAAGGTGGCAGTAATTTCAGCGCCGGACAACGTCAGCTCTTCTGTGTGGCGAGGGCAGTACTGAGGCGCTCCTCCCTCCTCATACTCGACGAGGCTACTTCCGCCCTCGACACCTCCACCGAGAAGGCTCTCCACCACGCCCTCCACACCGCCTTCGCCCACGCCACTGTCATCACTATAGCAGTAAGTCTTTCATTGTTTGTGGTGATGACTTTAGCCAGTGTTTTCTATATACTTTTATCCTCTTCATCGCTGATCGGCCCGTTAGCCTCTTGGGCGGCCGGTCGCGTCTCTGTTACACACTGTTGGCAAGTACTGGGCATGCACCGGCTCCTAAATGTACCTGAACCTGCTCCAGTGTTGGTCAAGTCTGGTCTTCAAACAGTTCACACTCGGTGCCGTCACAACACTCTCTGGCAGATTGTTCCAAGAGTTCACAACTCTCACTCCGAAAAAGTTTGCCCTCACAGTTTTCTGGACTTGTGGCTGTTCAACCTTGAACTGTGACTCCTTATTTGTGTCTTACTATGAGAGAATATTACAATTAACTGAGGCTAAGACACCTCCAGTGCATTTTCGTCTGAAGACTAGACGCCCACTTTATATTTACCTGAAGATTAAACATCGAGAAACTAATTAGCATTACAAGACTTCTTCAATGTTTCCAGGAGTCATTAGGAAGAGTAATAATACCAAAAGTCCAGCTTCTTAACCCTAGATCCTTAATCAGCATGTTGGGGATAACCTAGACTGAGATTAAGGCTGTAAAAATGATCCTCCTCTTGGGATAAGAAAATAAAAAGCTTTCAACAAGTGGTGTAGTTGTAGCAGCAAGACGATGCATAACCGCCCTAAATATTTACCAGTCGTGTCCTAATCTTTCAGCACGGGATCAGCAGTCTCCTAGAGTATCCCCGAGTACTCGTCTTAGAAAACGGGAAACTCGTAGAAGATGGGAATCCTCGAGAACTTGCCAAGAATGTAGGTGGAGCGTTCGCCAAACTTCTTGCAAATGCGAATGACAACACAAATGAAGATGAATCGAGTAAAAGAAAGAAAAAATGTAAGGAGAATGAGAATAAGACAGACCGAGTAGAAAATGGAGGAAGAATACGACTCCAAGAGTATAAAAGCCAAAAAAAAACAGTAAATATCTAATAAAAACCTGAGATTATTTTACCAGTGACTAATTTAAGTGACGGTTCTATAAACAAACGACCATTACACTTTATTGTGATAGAGTTAAAACAAAAGACAAATAAACTGTGATGTTATTATAGTCATTATTGAACAAAGTATCGTAAAATAATGATACGATACAGAACACTGAATAAATAATTAAGTAATACCTAGAAAACTTGGAAGGAACTGAACCCGGTGTTAGTGATATCGGTAACGCATTGAATAGTATTGTATAAATTATTTGATGGTACTGAGAAGAGGTAGTGATTATTTACAGTTTTTCAATGATAAATTTATTGGAAAGTAAAACCCACTGACGAACATACTGTAAGTTGGTGATGAATAAAGGTGAAATATATAAGAAATGAAGTGTAGGACTATGAAAACTTCTGAGAAAATAAGTCAGTAAATCATTATTAATCGTGTACGCTGATTTGACCTTATTTGAGTCAATACAATGACTTATGTGAAGGCAATTGACTTCTACATTTAAGTACCAGTATATTAAATTAGTCCTAGCAAGTGACATCCATTTATAAGAGTTTGTCCTCAAATTTAAACATAGAAAACGATTTTACAATATGTAGTGGTTTTTATGGGAAACTGAAGTAAAACCAGTGCTTGTAGAACGTGTCCTTTTAAGGTTCTATGTTCTTTTGTTCCCACTCACACAAATAAGACCTTTGAAAAGTCCACTGAACCTTGGAAACATGAGAGCAGAAAGAACCAATGACTCATATCAGAACTAGTGCTTGATAAATCTTTCCTTTGAGGTTGTAAGTTCCCGTGAGAACGAAAAAAACTCCAGGGTTCAAACTCTCAACATAAGATGGTTACCTGACAGATGTGATAGATAAAAGGAATGTATTTATTGTCTCATTGTCACGTGTTTCTGTGTATTCTTGACTTTGTGTTGTACGTTCCTTTGTCATATTAGCGTTAGCTGAAAAGTGATTCCAGATACCATCAGTTAAAATGCACATTAAACCACCATCAATTATCTAATGTTTTCGATATTGTCAGCTGAAATACACATTAAACCATCCTTTAGCTGAGCTTAATCTAGATAAATCAGCTAAAATTCACTTTAAACTAATTTAGCTTTTTTATCTCGCTCGAGTAATTTAAATAAGATAAGCTGATACTGCGCTATAGACCTGCGCAGACTGAGAATTTAATGCCCTCTCAGCTCAAAGGTTGTGTCATTTGAGGGGACAGTTTTTGTGACGCTGAGAATGATGTATGTAAAGCTGTGAATATTTTACCTCATGTATGTACACGATTGAACACACACACACACACACACACACACACACACACACACACACGACTCATTTAATCATAAAAATTTGTATATATAAACCTTAAAAAACAGCAATGAATTTATATAGCACTACTAAATGGCTGTAATTTTCATTTTTCATCCAAATTCCACCTTTTTATCATATATATGTATAAATCATAATTCTATTTGTATATATAAATTGTTAAATGAAGACGAGTATTCATTTCCCCGACAATTTTCATAATTTATATTCCTGATATTTGTTTAACATGTGACATTAAGGTAACGATCTGCCTCTACTCTCTGTCTACTGAACTTGTCCAACATTTATCATCCACACCACTACTGCTGTTGCCTGAGTCATCCACACCACTACTGCTGTTGCCTGAGTCATCCACTCCACTACTGCTGTGCGCAGTGGACGCCTGCCCCACTAGGGGTCACAACTTAAGATTGAAGAAGCTACAAGTCCAGAAAAGTGTCAATGCAATTTTGTTTTCGATTGAGAGTTGTGAACTCTTGGAACAATCTGCCAGAGAGTGTTGTGACGGCACCGAGTGTGAGCTCTTTCTAGACCAGACTAGACCAACATTTGCGCAGGTACAGATATTTTCTGAAGCCAGTACATGCCTAGTTATTGACAACAGTGTATAACAAACAGCCAGTACATGTCCAGAACATTGCCAATAGAGTGTAACAGCCAGTACGTGCCAACAATGTGTAACAATTATTACTTGCCAACAGTGCGTAACAGACACGTGACCCCCCCCCCCTCCCTAATTATATGACCTAAGTATCTAATTTTTCTTTTCTGTACATTTCAAGTATTTCTCTTGAAGTTTTTACTAATCTTGATACTTCATTTGTTTACCTGTCAGTGTAGATTATTCTTAGCATTCACCTATAACACCACATTCCAAAAGCCTCCAACCTCAGAGCTCAGACATGAGGGCGTACTCAGAGTGGCCACCAGTAAACAGAGACCTCCCTCACAAGCGGCGAACAGACAGATCAGTGGCGAAGAGGATAAAACAAAGTACAGTACACCAAAGTAAAATGATTGCAATATCACAAAGAAATATAGAACGTAAGTAGACAGTTTCATAAATGAGATTAAATGCGAAACTTAAATGACTTAGAATGAGTTTAAAGGTGCTACCCTAGTATTAAAGAAACCAACCGAGTGTTACTTTGCTAACAACAATAACAACAACGATAACAATGATACTATGAGTCATTTGCGAGGGAAAGGTCGTAGAAGAAAAGTGTCTTAGAATTTTCTGAACTAAGGACTGCATAGATAGAATTTTCGAAATTCGTTTCATGGTGATAATAATAACAATAATTATCATGTAGTTAATTCACTTCCAACACAGTATGTAACTAGGTTCAATTTATTTCAGTGTTTTGTAGGCAATTTATCGTAATATAAAAGGAATTAACTAGTTTTATGAACAGGTCCACTGTAAATGTTCGTGTCAACTGTCAGCCTGTCATTTGTTGGACCAAAACTTGTAAACAAACTCAGCTGGCAGAGAAGTCCAGCCGAATTATGGACGATTACACGTTATTGGTAATTGGAAAATAGGTGAAACAGGTATGTATGTTTATTATAGTACCAGTAACTCATTTTATATAGTTTAATAAAGTGGCAAGTTGTTTAATGTTTATTTTGGCCTCTTGTGTGTTGGCCAGGTTCAGGCTGCTGCAGTCATCATTACTTTTCATTGGTCTTCTGGAAATAAACTGTTTAGTGTAAATGATCACTGTAGGAAACTGTTAATGTAGAGTTACTAGTGTATCACGTACAGTATTGTGGGTGTGTGTTAAGAGATATTATGGTACAGCAGCTGCCTGAAGTCAATAACTGGTCATTATTCGTAACTCTATTAATTTGGGTAAAGGTGAAGGAGACGGTTAGCAGTAGAAATTATGTATCGAGTCGCACCAAAATTTCTGGAAGTACTATTTGCATAATACTAAACACAGAAATGGAAACAACATTGTATAGAACTTAGCAGAACCTGACCTAACCAACATAACCTAACCAACTTTACCTATCATACCTACCTACCTACCGTACCTAACCAACCTTACCTATCTTCATAACTGGGGAGCTCTGCCCCAGGACCTCCCGGCATATAAAGCAAAAATAATTTACTTTAATATCTGGTACCAATGCAAAATGAGGGCTGTGGCTAACCCATCCGGTTTAAAATATTACTGTAGGGCAGGGGTTACCAAACTACGGCCCGCGGGCCGGATCCGGCCCGCGACGTCAGTTCATCAGGCCCGCCGATGGTACTTGAATTTGCTTGATAAAACGTATGGAACACGAGACGTTGTGATACAATTTAAATTTAAATATTATGTTTAGAATACTAGGAGATCTTCACACTAGGTCTGATGTAACTATCTTTTTGCTAACGTCGCCTTCTGTGATAACTTTTTAGTAAACAAATATGTTGGTTGTCTTTGTTTTATGTGCATTGCTCGCCACTCACCCATGATTAACATGGAATGCTAAACTTAGTTTTTCGTCTTTTTTCCCAGAGCTTTCGTTCTGGCTTGCAAGTATTGAAAAGAATGATTATGCGGCCCGCGCTCGTCATTCTTTCAGTTATCCGGCCCACTGTGAAAAAAGTTTGGTGATCCCTGCTGTAGGGTATCGTAAATTTCCACTTGTGAATAAGCAGGGTATGCTTTGTGAATATCAAATAGGGTGTTAAGATATCAACTGCGGATAAATGGAGTTGTGAATAGCTTTTGTCGCCGCTGCCCTCACTCTTGGTCTCACCTTCAGTGATTGGTTTATCACAATGCCTAGATCTTTTCCTTATCAACAGTGTCCAGGAAAGTGTTATTGACAGAATAGTTGTGATGAGGTTGTTGTATCCTATATGCAGAGTCTTACATTATGTAATGCTAAACAGCCAATGCCAATCTTGTAACCCTTTGAACAGCTCCAGCAGATCTTTTTGTATAGTTGTCACATCATCTTGTTACCTTCCCAAATATCTCCGTGTTGTCCACAATCATGACTACAGTATATACAGTAATATCTCCGTAAGCCGGATTCCCTCAAACCCGGAACTCTCCAATAGCTGGAATTGAAATTTTACGAGGGGCACATTTTCCGGAAAATTCTGAGAAAATTTTCCCGATACCCGGAAATTTCTGGAAAATTCCTGGGATGGGGGATATCTTCCGGGCCTGTAGTTTTCTGCTGCACTTTTTCTACCTTCCTTGTATACCGGGGTGCAAAATGATTGTACAGTAATAACCATAACATATTTGACAGATTGGTGAGGAGCGGGTAAGGGGTAGGTGTCTATAGTGACGAGTCTGGTGTTGCTATTACAAATAAAAAACTAATTTAAAATACTACAAGACAAGTAAAAAACAAAAGTAAGGAATACTCTCACAATGTAAAGTAACGGCTGTCGTGGTAAGTTGAATTAAGGCTGAAGCGACCTCACAACTCCCTGTACCTTCTCTCTCATAAACCATACGTTCCCTTTCTGATGTTATTAACAATTGTGTTACTTCAAACGACATTTGTATACAATCTAGATGAAAAATTACAGCTAAATGAATGTTTAATACAACTGTCATTTGCACAGATGCTGGGTGCTAGGCCGCCTCAACACTGCCAGTCACCATAGCAGCACAGCCTACCTGGGACACCACCCAAGCAACTCTCTAGCGATGGACCCAAACTCTGCACCTCCAGCTCAGCAGACTCCACTCCTCCAGCTCAGCAGACTCCACTCCTCCAGCTCAGCAGACTCCACTCCTCCAGCTCAGCAGACTCCACTCCTCCAGCTCAGCAGACTCCACTCCTCCAGCTCAGCAGACTCCACTCCTCCAGCTCAGCAGACTTCACTCCTCCAGCTCAGCAGACTCCACTCCTCCAGCTCAGCAGACTCCACTTCCCCAGTCAGGCCTCCTAACTCACACACAAATAAATATTTATTCCCTTTTTGTGTTTGCTTTTTATTTACAATATGTGTGTAGGAATGTGTGTGCATGTAAATGAGTGTGAAAAATGAAAGCAGTAACATATACAGGTAGTGTGTCTACCTGAAATGATGAGTTGAAATATAATCACAACACCCCGTAGCTCCGCCTCCGAAGATGTGTTGCAATTGAAAAGAATAATATGCTGTAAATCCTCATTTGTATAAGGAATTTGTAGATTTAAATCAACATTTACTATAGTGAATGAAGTGCTGTTCTTCATGTAGCATAAAAAAAATCTTGGGATATGGTCGGTCAACCCCATGATAAGGCTTACTACAAGCTTGCTCAGCTACTGTTCACTGTAAATGAATGGATTTCAACCGCTCAAAAATGCTATGCATATATATAGTTCAACCCCTTACATGTTTCATAAAAATTAGACCATGAAACTTGTAACTGTCCTTGAGCACAGTCGTGCCTCACCAACTGCACAGTTCTCATCCATAGCTTCTGTGTCCACAGTTTGTATTCTGTATAGAATACCATTCACCAACCACGGCATTTAATATCAGGTAACCACGGGTTAGTGCGGCATCTTTTTCCATCCGTGATCTTAAGTTTTCCCTCATATAATGTGAGGAATAAATAAAAAAACTTACTAAATAAAAACAGAAAAATTACTGCATTGCCATTTAGCAATCGTTTCACGAAGGACATAGGAGAAGCGGCAGCGCCCTCAGGGAACCTCCGAGAAAAGGCAGGGGTCCTTGCCAGGGACAGTGGCGATCCCGGGGGCTCTCCCAGCGACAGTGGGGATCACATGAACCCTCCGAGGGACAACGGCGATCCCAGGGGCCTTGACAGAGACAGCATAGCTCCCAAGGGCGGCGCTGACCCCAGGGGCCCTATGGCAAAACTGTCTTTGTGTCTTCAATAATACATACTTCCAGCAGTCCCTTACTTAACTGTGATTGGTGGACTATTCTTTTAACCCGCCAAATTACAGCCAATAGGAGCAGAGAACAGTCAGTCAGCACAACACCCCAACTTATGTTTTCCTGTTGGATATTATTCTCCATTACCTTGTTCAGAATGCGATTATACTGGAAATGTGATGGGCGGGGGTGTATTCACTGAACGTTGCTTCTCCCAGAGCTCTAAATAGTGCCAAAACTACAGCAACCATGGGCCCTCCCAGGGACGTGAGCGCTCCCAGGGGCCGTGCCAGGGACGGTGGCAACCCTAGGG